CCCCCGCCCCCCCCCCCAAGAGCACAAATTTTTGTGCACCAGGCCTCTAGTCTATACTAATAAAAGGGTAATATACTAATTAGACTGGGTTGACCAGCCATCTTCTGGACATCCGACTTCTTTCCGGACAAAGCCATGGTGGTGGGGGCTGAGGCAGAGGCAGTTAGGGGCAATCAGGCTGGCAGGGGAGGGCAGTTGGGGGTGAGATCAGGTCAGCAGGGGTGGGCCATTGGGGGTGACCAGGCTGGCAGCGGAGGGCTGTTGGGGGTGACCAAGCCAGCATTGGGGGCAGTTAGGGGCGACCAGGCTGGCAGGGGAGGGCAGTTAGGGGCAATCAGGCCAACGGAGCAGTTATTAGGAGTGATCAGGCAGGCAGGCAGAGGGGTTAGGGGCAATCAGGCAAGCAGGCAGAGTGGTTATGGGTGATCAGGCAGGCAGGCAGGTGAGCGGTTAGGAGCCAGCGGTCCCAGATTGGAGAGGGTGCAGGCTGGGCTGAGGGAACCCCCTTGTGCATGAATTTCGTGCACCGGGCCTCTAGTATTTCTTATAAAAGTATGCACTCCAGCTCCTCCGGAGCAATCACTAAGCCCACTGAGTGAGCTGCATCGGCCCAGCGCCCGCCAGGTGAGACCCGCTGCAGCCTGTTCCTCGGCCGTCTCCACAGTGAGGCATGCTGATCGCTGGCAATGATGGAAGATTCAATCAAAGGCCAAATGAGCTAAGCGTGCAAAAGACAGGGCGAGCAGGCAAGCAGTGAGCCAACGAGAGGCCACGCTCCCTGCTGGCACAGACGCCGGCTTCTCTCGGGATTTGCTTGGCACTTGGCTGCTCAGTTAGACACCACTTGCGCGTGGGAGTCCAGGCCAATTATCACCTTCCCTGAGGCCTGAGCAGGAGGCAGGGCTCAGGGCCAATGAGGAAGCTTTCCACGAAGAGAACCGGAAAGAGCATGAAGGAGGAAATGATGCCCGGATGAACACTTTGCAAAGGGATGACTTCACGTGACAGCACAGATACCTCAACGTGTGCCATCACCGCTCAATCAGCTTAAACATGTTGGAACACATGTATAGCATGTGCACACACGCCAAAGAAGTTTTTAGCATGCATGTGCTCACGGGAAGCACGTTCCCTAGTCACGTGGGCGGTCACGAGAGCATGGCTGAGAGTGCGCTTTTCTCTGTCACTGACCAGGTGTGTGGCCTTCAAGAAAGTCATTCCATCCTCTCCTCTGAACATGCTTCCTCATATTTTTTAAAAATGGAGCTAATTATGTTTCAGGAATTAAAATGACAACACATGGAAAAGCACATTGAAATGTGTAAAACTCCATTACAATATTATTTATAATAAGCAATACAAAAATAAGAGAGACCACTAGCTACTTCCCCAAAAGCCTCTTTCCCATCAGCTCTGACAAGCAGGTCAAGGAACAAGAGGCCGGGTGCCCCTCGCCTGCCATGCCTGGACCACAGCAGATGCTGAGTGAGCGTTTTTCAATGAACAAAGGGGATTTCCTTCAAAAATATTTTTCATTCCTGTGAAGTCATACAGTTACAATAAGTTGAGTTTGGGTCCAAGTTTAGGAAGCTCTGAGAAACACTAACTCCATTATTTCTCTCTACGAGGTCGGGAGAACCAAGACAGGCAGCGGGGTCATCACCACGTTCCAAGGACGGCTCAAGAAGCCGAAGGGAAACCCTGCCCCTTACCTGCCACGGGGCACGGGACCAGCTCTCCCTCCAGTCGTGCTTCGACATCTCCTCCACTGCACGTGTCCCCGGAAATCTTCCGATAGCTGTCAACCCAACCCAAGAGCAAGAGGTGAGACACATCAGAGAACAGCCATCCAGGCTCCGTAGCCCTAGCTGGGTGCTCAGTGGAGAGAGCATCGGCCTGCGGATTGAAGGGTCTGGGGAACAATTCGTTCGGGTCAGGGCTCATGCCTGGGTTGTGGGCTCGATCCCCAGTAGGGGGCGTGCAGGAGGCAGCCAATCAATGATTCTCCCTTCCCCTCTGAAATCAATAAAAATATATATATATTTTTTAAAGGCTCTGTGACTGGAACGCATTCCCAGCATACACAGCGGGTTCATCTCATTTCCCCACGGAACAGGAGGGGCTGCTTGATCCCTCAGGCCCAGCGCTGCCTGGAATCAGGAGCAGCTCAGACAAATGGGAGCGCTCTCCTGCGCACAACTTTTACACATATTTCCCCCAAACTCCTGACGATGTGCCGTGCTGAAACGTATGACTTCAGATACAGGTAAAGTTGTAGAGGACCTTACAGACTTGCCCTTTTTTCTCACTGCGGATGGAAGAGTTTGCAAACATCCTAACTTTAAATATTGCCCGAGCTACTTGAAACCTGCTTGCCGAGCCCTAGCTGGTTTGGCTCAGTGCATAGAGCATTGGCCTACAGACCAAAGGGTCCTGGGTTAGATTCCGGTTAAGGGCACATACCTCCCCAGCCTGGGCCCTGGTCGGGCGTGTACAGGAGGCAACCAATCGATGTGTTTCTCTCACATCGATGTTTCTCTCTATCTTTCCCTCTCTCCCACTCTCTCTAAAAATCAATGGAAAAATATCCTCAGATGAGGATTTTTTAAAAAGACACCTGCTCACCTTAGAAGTCAGGCATTTCCAGTACGAAAGGCACCCGCTGCTCTCAGACCCAGTGTAGACCCAAGTCCCTGACCTGCAACCACTGTGAGACGTACCCTCTCGTTCTCCTGTAAGTGGAACCCGCAGGGCAGGGCACAGGAGGGGAATATGACTTCTCAGAGAACTCAGGATCCGGCACGCAAACCTCTAACAACAGGTCTTCACTCATCTTGAAGCCGAAGTCACTGAAAGGCAACGAGGGTTTGTCACGGCCACGGTTTGCATCTCAGGGTTTCCACACGCTGCCTGCACCTGCATCAAGAGCTCCTTCCATGTCCCTCTGCAGACTGCTCACATCTCTACACTAACACAATTCCAGAAGACCTTTACGTCAGAACCACAATCTTAAATCACTATCATGTGCCATAAATAAATGAAACCAAGACAAATCATTATGCTAAAGACAAAATATTAAAATGTTTAGCTAGATCCAGCACCTACCCAAAGACTCTGGCCTGCCCTCCCGGTGTTGACAGGACAAGCAATGTCCACAGACCACTAGCACCTGGCGAGCCCTTCTTGACACGACTGGGAGACTTAGGAGAGAAATTAAGGCCTGGTCAGTGTGGCTCAGAGGGTCGAGCGTGGGTCTGCGGACCGAAGGGTCCCAGATAAAATTCTGGTCGAGGGCACGTACCTTGGTTGCAGGCTCCTTCCCGGCCGGGGCCTGGTCAAGACTCCTGCAGGAGGCAACCAATCGATGCGTTTCTCTCACATTGATGTTTCTCTCTGTCTTTCGCTCTCTTCCACTCTCTCTAAATATCAATGGAAAATATCCTCAGGTGAGGATTAAAAGAGAGAAGTTAAAAAGAATAATCCCCCTTTTTTTAAAACCAAGGATGTTTTAACCTTTGTTATTTAAGATCATGTCCACATACTCCCTGACATCACCTGTGTCCCTCCTCCTGCCCTTCCGGACCCAGTGCTGTGGTCTTCGAGACCTTCTGCAGTGTGGGCCATTCTCCTCCACACCACCAGCTCCGGGAGCGGGGCCGGGGCAGGGTCTCGGTCTGCGGTCTGCCTACTTCTCCAGGCTGCACTGAAGGACGCCCAGGTGAGGCGGCTTCGCAGGCCCCGCCCAAACGGTGACTGGTCATTCAGAGGCACTGCCAGCTGCTGCGCTCTCCCGAAAGGCTTCATTTACTCTGTTTGGCCCAACAAATACTTCTTAAACACCTACCATGTGAAAACCATGTACCAGGTACAGGGCGAAGTGGTGTGTGTATAGCCTGTCATAATCCACACTTAGCACTTGTATAGAATTGCTCAGAAGAAAGTGTATTGCCGTGCCAGGCAGGTCTGATTGAGGGGCTGCTTCACATCTTTGGGGCCTGGCTGGAGCGTTCGCTAGTTACTGTTCTGTCTCCAACGGCTGAGCACCCTTGCCAGGCCGGTGTCTCCACTTTCAGCCGAGCGGGCAGTGCACGTGCAGGAGGGTTGAGACCACTCCCCCCAACTCCCTTAAAACACAGAAGACTGCAAAAGGCAGCCCCTCACCAGGAGCTGGTACCTCACAGAACTTCTGTTTCAATCACGTGTGTGCCAGCATCGACATGTATAGAGGTGTGGGCACCGGGTCAGACTAGAAACGCATTGTGTGCCCCAGGGGTTGCAGTCAGGAGTCTGAAAGCCACACTTGCTGACAACGTGGTGAAACGTAAAGATGTAAGAGGGTCTATTATACTTGGATAAAAAAAAAGATGTAAAAGAACCTATACCTGAACCAGGGCACCTGTGGGCCAGTGGTGGGGCCTCTGGGGGGAGGGGCAAAGCGGCAAGGCGGGGGGCTGAGGGGCTCAGAAGCAACCTCACTTTCCAATGCAGATGCCACTCGGGGGCTGAACTAACGGCAGATCCCACCGTCACTTGCTCTCACTTCCTCTCCTGTGGTCCATCCTCAGACCATCGCACTGGCCACTGCCAAGTCCAGGGCCACACACCTGCAAGGTCCGCCCAGTGGGCGCTGGTGCCTTCCCTGCAGCTGCAGCGAATGGACAAAGGGATGCACAGCAGCAGGGCGGCCTAAGACCTGCGCTCCCTGTATCACTGTCTCGGGCCATCACCCTCACGCTCACGATCTCACTCCCCGAAGCCCTGCTCCGTCGGGGCAGGGACAGTGGCTTTCCTGGTAATGAAGACTCAGCACCCGGGGTTTCCGGCCGGTGGGTGGGCATATGGACCAGGAGAGCCAGGCCAGGGCGCAGGACAGCCCACCAGGCCCTGGGACCTGGTTTCTGGTGTTGCTGCCAGGTGGCAGATTTTAGAGAAAAGGCATAACGGTGTCCATCAAGTGAAAAAATAGTGAAAAAATCAAAGACCTGTTAGACCACCCTGCACATTTTTTATTGTTTTCGTTTTAAGCACTTCGAAGAGGAGAGGGAGGGCCCTTTCCCTGACTAGGGCCTCTACAGTCAGGGGACCAGTCACCCAGGCCAGCACGGCTCTCGGATTAGCTACAGGTTTGGACACCACCAGGGAGCAGAGGCCAGAGGGCACCGCACTGGCAGCAGGAAGGCATCACCCAGCTAGGGGTGCTATGGAGCGTCCATGCTACTCCTAGGACCACACGCTGTGGAGGAATGTGCGTCTGAGCTGCCCAAAGCCCCTGCTCCCGGGGAGGGTGTGGAGAGAAGCAGCGTCCGAATCGCCTGTGTCTGCACTGCAGGTGCCGCCTTGGGAGTCAGACCTCGCACAACAGAGTGACCCCGGCGACCCATGCACACCGTCAGTCTCAGAAGCTGGTCCGAGAGGCGTGCCCAGGGGCGGCAGCTGTTTCAGTAGAGAACTTACTGGGTCCAACCACACCTACCCACCCGGGCCCTGTTCCTGCTGCCCAGGCCCAGGTGAGCAGCTGCAGAGACCACGGGGCCTGCAAGGCCTAAAACATTCCCTGGATGGCCGGATCCAACCTTGGACCAGAGGCACCTCAGGTGTCCGGCTTCAGTCAAGATATGTGCACTTCCCGAAGCAAACCTGAGTTTCCTTGGGCCTTAGCAGCTGCTGAAAAATGAGTCAGCTATTTGTGTTCAGTACCGGAGCTCTGCTGACGGACCCGCTGCGGGTTACAGGCCCGAGCACCTGCCTCAGGGCTCCGACCTCAGCTCTCCGCAGAGCCTTCAGACACCTCCTGCTCTCGGGGCTCATCTCCACGCACTGACCCCCCCTCCCCAGACACCCAGCAAGGCATCCAGAGAGCCCCAGTGACCTCTGCCCCCACACTGCTGCTCCCTCCCCTCAGAACGCTCCTGCCCACACATCCAGGCCTTCCTTAAGGACATCACTCACAGGCTTTCTCCAGAAATTCTCAGTTCCCAGCAGCCATTCCGTCTCCTCCTTCCCATCTGGACTCACAATGAAGCGCGTCCCCCCAGGCTGACAGCTCCCTCCCGTTAGTTACCTGTGTGCGTGTCACTCCTCTGCTTCTGCATTCTCAGCAGTCCTCGCATGCTCTGCTCAAGGACGTGTGCATGTGCACGTGTGCGTGTTTGTGTGTGCACGTGCGCGCGGGTGTGTGCGTGTGTGTCCGTGTGTGTGTGCGCACTAATATTCCCACATTTCAAATAAGGAAAGAACCTCCCTCTAGAGCAGGGCTCCTAAGAACAAGGAGCCGCCCAATGGACCTCAGGACATGCCATGTGGGGTGCCCACACGGAAACAAGCCGAGTGCCCGTTGCTGAATGAGGCTGCAGCTCCCCAGGGGGACGCTTCGCCCACACCACACGTCACTGAAGCTGAATGGGGCGAGCTGTGGACACAGTGCCCAGCAGCTGCACATGAAAGCTGCTTAACCACTATTTGCTTCCCATGATTCCTTCCTTTCCTGAGGGAAAGGGGCCAGGCCAGCGTCCACACCCCCCACGGCTGGGAAGACAGCACGGTCCGTCCAGGCAGGACGGGGACCCACCATTCGTAGTCCGCGCGGGTGCAGGAGCAGTTGGCCACCACCACGGGCCTGTCGAAGTCTTCGCCGTTGAAGCACGTGGCGTGAGGCGTCCGGCGCTTGAAGACCGTCTTGTGGCCCAGCAGGCACTGGCTGCCCCTCTCGTCTGACGGGGACCACAGCTTGTAGTCGTTCTCTGTGCAGGGGACCCCTGCGGAGGGAGACAGCATGAGCCGCTGCCCGGGGGGTTCCCGCCCGGCCGCCCATCAGTCCCGCTGCCCATGTCCCCCGACCCCCACCCCCAGTGCTGCCCCAAGCCTCTGGCCAGCTTGCTGTCAGGCGGGGTGGCACCCACACAAATGGAAGCGGCCCTCTGAAACACAGACGTTCATCTGAGAAGCTGGGAGCAGCAAGCCCGTGGGGCCTGTCGCTGACGGGGCCTCTAGGGTTTCGTCCTGATGCGCACTCTGTGGAGGTCCCTGCATTCACCCTCTGCCCGCGTCCCTCGAGCATCCTCAGGACCACTGTTCTGAGCTCCGTCTCTGGGAGGCTGTTTGCCTCCATGGAACTTAATTCTTCCCCCGGGACTCCTGCCGCTCCTTCATCGGGGCACGCTTCTCTGTGCCCACTTGGCTGCCCTCCGGATTTGGTTCTGAGTACTGGGTGGCTCCCTATGACCCCAGTCTGGGGAGGGCCTGATGCAGCAGGTGTCCTTGGGCTCAGGGGCGCAGTCGGCCTGGTCACCTGGGCTGGGGGCTCAGGAACACTCCTCCTGGGTTGTGTGGGCCTCCGGGAGGGTTGAGTTTCATCGCTGTTGCCGGTCTGTGGGCAGGGCTGACCTCAGACTGCTGAGAGGACCCTCCCATGTGGTCTCAATCCCGCAACTGGGTGTGCTGGTTCTGGGGCCTCTTGGGAGGGACTCCAGGCAGGTCAAGGTGAGATGCTGTCTGTGACCAGCCCTGGGCCACCTGGTAAGAGCCACAGATTGTTCCACAGTTGGTGGCTGCCTCTGCTGGGCCAGGGTGGGCATGGGAGGGGCCAAGCTGAGTAAGGTAGACTTCCCCCAGCACCGAGCCTGGGCAGGTCGGCCAAAGACCCAGGGCACCCCAAGACCCCGCTCCTCCTGCGGCCTCCCTCCTGCAGCTGCTGGTCAGGCTCTGCCACTGAAACCGCTCTGACGACACTCGAGTTGTGTGAGACAGGGTCCCATGAGTCTCCAGGAGGGGCGAGTGGTGCTCACAGGTTAACATGGATTCAAACTCAGCTCCAGTCTGGGTCTCAGGTCTCCCCAAGGTCAGCGCCACCCCTGGGGTCTGAGGACTGTGTGGTGGATGGGGTCTCGGGGGGTTCTCCTGGGGAGGCCAGCAGGGTTCCTCAGGTTATGACAGGAAGGTGTGGGCGCGTGGAGAGAGGCTGGTTGGGGCGTGAGAGAAGATGGCCCTCGTCTGAAAGCCACCTCTCTCCTGTGCGGCTCGGTCCCTGCCGGGCTGCTGTCTTGCTGGCACCCGGGGTGCGAGTCCTGCTCCTCTGGGCGAGCGCCTGGGCTTCCAGAAAGTCTTCACGGGCAGCCAGCATCACAGCCCGTTACACGGCCTCCTTCCTCTTTGCGGCACCAGGGCTCCAGCTGGGGAGCCCAGCAAGGGGGTGAGGACCCCGCTCCTCAGGGGACCTCTTCCCTGAGATGGCCCTCCATGTTCTCAGCTGCTGGGCGTTCCACAGTCTCCAAGCGGCTTCTTCTGTTACCCGTGGTCACGGCACTTCTGTTCAGCTGATCTCCAGCTGGCATGCAGGTCCATGGTTCTGTACTTGAGTTCTAATTCCACTTTGGTCCTGGGAGGAGGTGTGTGAGGCTCCCACCTCCTGCGCTGCCAACTCAGATCCCTGCACACCGTGGAAGCTCCCACAGCCTACAGTTCCCTGCAGAAGCAGGGACCAGAGAGGTTTCCTTTCATCTTTATTGCTGAAAGTATTACATATGTCCCCTTCCCCCCACTGACCGCTTCTAGTCCTAACCGCCCCCACCCTAGGCCTTCCCCATACTATTGTCTGTGTCCATGGGTTATGCATATATGCATACATGTTCTTGGGTTGATCTCTTTCCACCCCCAGACCCGCCCCACCCCAGCCTTCCTTCTGAGGATCAATAGTGTGCTCCATGCTTCTATGTCTCTGGATTTATTTTATTCATCAGTTTATTTGGTTCATTAGATCCCACATATGACTGAGATCATGTGATACTTGTCTTTCTCTGTTATAATGTCCTTGTCTGCTAATTCCATTAACTCTGTTATTTCTGGATTTGTTCCTATTGATTGGCATTTTTCCTGCGTATGCATCATATTTTCCTATTCTTCTCATACCTGGTAATTTTTGTTTTGATGCCAGACATGAATTTTATGTCGTTGGTTGTTGGATTTTGTTGAATTCTTTTAAATATATTTGGGCTTAGTTTTGGCAGGCAGGTAAGTTATTTGGAATCTGCTTGTTCTGGTTGAGGCCTGCTTTTAAAGCTCTAAGGCTATGAAAGTGTACTTCTGAGGACTCTATCTACTGATCCCTGTATTATCACATCGTTCCAATCTGGGTTGGGGGACAAAACCCATTCCTCATGCTGAGTGAGCTCTGGGAATTGTTTGCTTGTTTGGCACACTGCTTTCTGAACCCCACTTTGTGGAGTATGACTCCTTGCAAGCACAGTTCAGTGCTCAGCCAAAGATTTAAGAGGATTCTGCTCCACGTATTCTAGGGCAGCGGTTCTCAACTTGTGGGTCTTGACCCCTTTGGTGGTTGAACGACCCTTTCACAGGGGTCGCCTAAGACCATCAGAAACCACATATATAATTACATATTGTTTTTGTGATTAATCACTATGCTTTAATTATGTTCAATTTGTAACAATGAAATTGGGGGTCACCACAACATAAGGAACTGTATTAAAGGGTCACGGCCTTAGGAAGGTTGAGAACCACTGCTCTAGGCCATCTGTATGTCCAGTTTGGAGAACTGTCTATTTAAGTTCTTTGCCCATTTTTCAATTGAATTGTCTTCCTTTTATCAAGTTGTATGAGTTCCCTATATATTTTAGAGATTAACCCCTTATTGGATGTATCATTGGCAAATATATTATCCCATACAGTAAGCTCTCTCGTCATTTTGTTGATGGTTTCTGTGCAGAAGCTTTTTATTTTGATGTCGTCCCATTTATTTTCTCCTTAGTTTCCTTTGATCTAGAAGATGTATCTGTAAACACATTGATATGAGAGATGTCTGAGGTTTTTCTGCCTATGATTTCTTCTAGGATTTTTATGGTTTAACAACTTACATTTAAGTATTTTATTCATTTTGAGTTTATTCTTGTATATGGTGTAAGTTGGTGGTCTAGTTTCATTTTTTTTGCATGTATCTATCCAATTTTCCCACCACCATTTACTGAAAAGACTGTCTTGACTCCATTGTGTGCTCTTGCCTCCTTTGTCAAATATTAATTGAGTGTAATGGCTTGAGTCAATTCCTGGGTTCTCTGTTGTTCTATTGGTCTATGTGCCTGTTCTTGTGCCAGTACCAGGCTGTTTTGAGAACAATGGCTTTGTAGTATAACTTGATATCTGGTATTATGATTCCTCCAACTTTGTTTTTCTTTCTCAAGATTGCTGTGTCTTTTTGGGGTCTTTTTTGGGTCCATATAAATTTTTGGAGTGTTTGTTGTAGGTCTGTGAAATATGTCGGTATTTTAGTAGGAATTGCATTAAATCTATAGATTGCTTTGGGTAGTATGGATATTTTAATGATGTTGATTCTACTAATCCATGAACACGGTATATTCTTCCACTTATTATATCTTCCTCTATCTCTTTTTTCAGCATCTTGTAGTTTTCTGAGTACAGGTCTTTTACCTCCTTGGTTACGTTTATTCCTAAGTATCTTAATTTTTTTATTGCAATGGTGAATGGGAGTTTGTTTTTTTTGTTTTTTTGTTTTTTTTTTGGTTTTTTAGTTTCTCTTTCTTAGAGCTCATTATTGGTGTGTAAAAATGCCATAGATTTCTGGGTGTTAATATTGTATCCAGATATGTTGCCAAATTAATTTATTAAATCTAGTGATTTTTTTATGGATTTTTCTATGTACATCTGTGAATAATGACAGTTTTACTTCCTCCTTTCCAATTTGGATGCCTTTTATTTCTTCTTTTTGTCTGATCGCTATGGCCAGGACTTCCAGTACTATTTTGAACAAGAATGGTGAAAGTGGGCATCCCTGTCTTGCTCCTGTGCTTAGGGGAAATGGTTTTAGTTTTTGCCCATTGAGTATGATGCTGGCTGTGGGTTTGTCATATATGGCCTTTATTATGTTTAGATATGATCCCTTTATTCCCACTTTGCTGAGAGTTTTTATAAAAAATGGGTGTTGGATTTTGTCGAAGCTTTTTCTGCATCAATTTGATATGATCATGTGATTTTTGTCTTGCGATCTATTTATGTGATGTGTTACATTTATTGATTTGCAAATATTGTAGCAGCCTTGCATCCCTGGAATAAGTCCCACTTGGTCATGGTGTCTGACCTTTTTAATGCATTGATGTTTCTCTCTGTCTTTTCCCATATATGTTCATGAGAGATACTGGCCTATAGTTCTCTTTCTTTTTAGTGTCTTTATCTGATTTTGGAATTACAGCAATTCTGGCCTCATAGAAAGAGCTTGGAAGTGTTCCTTCTTGAATTTTCTGGGATAGTTTGAGGAGAATAGCTGTTCTTTCCTCTTTGAATGTTTAATAAAACTCCCCCGTGAATCCATCCAGAGCGGGGCTTTTGTTTGCTGGGAGTGTTGTGATTACGGCTTCAATTTCATCAGTAGTTATCAGCCTATTCAGGTTGTCTGATTCTTCCTGATTGAGTTTTGAAAGGTTGCATTTTTCTAGGAATATGTCCATTTCGTCCAGGTTGTCCCGTTTGTTGGAATAAAGTCATTCATAATCTGTTTTTACTCTCCTTTGTATTTCTTGGGGTCAGTTGTCACTTCACCTCTTCTGTTTCTGACTTTATTTGGTCCTCTCTCTGTGTGTCCTGGTGAGTCTGGCTATCGGAGGGGTCTATCTCCTAAGGAGCTGGTAAAAGGCTGAGTCCGTGCAGACGGCATCTTTCAGGAGCACAGAACCCTGCCTGCTTCCGTGACTGGTGCGGGCACATGAGGCAGCATGGCCGGAGAGCAATGCAGATCTTTCTGTCATTGCTTAGCAGGTACAGGGTCTTAGTGGAAGGCAGCTGAGAAAGATAAGCCAACCTGGACGATCACTTAATCTGCCTGCATTCACTCAAAATTTAGGTAGAGTGGGTTCCACAGGAATCCCGAAGCCAACCTACGTCAAAATTGGTACTTCATGTCGTTCTTATACATGTGTGTCCTTGGTCAGATTCGACGCTGCCTGAAAATGATGGGCTGTCCATTCCATTCCATTCCATTCCATTCCATTCCAACCAGCAAGTATGTGTTCAGCCCTGCTGGAAGGCGGTCAGACTGTGCAGCACATGAAGAGTGAAGACGCAGAGGACAGGCCTTGTCCTAAGGACCTTATGCTCTAGCTGATGGGAAACGACGGATACCGAGGAGAGACACATTTATAACTCAGGTCGCACGCAATGCTCCGACACAGAGGTGGGGCGAAGGGTTCCGGATACTGGCAGCCAAGCCCATTGGATCCTGAAACATGAAAGGCTTTCATCTGGTGGACACTGAATGGGAGGCATGGGGGCATCCCACACAGCTGAGACAACATTAGCCAAGCAGAGGAGGAGGAAAGGGAAGGAGCAGGGAAGGAACGAGTCGCTTCTCTCTGCCTAGACTAGCAAATCATGCTGAGGGCCCAGACATGGTGAGGGCCTGCAGCCGTGGGCACTGCCTTTTGCACAGCAGTGACGGGTAAATTTGTCAAACTGCTCATTTCAAGGAATGTTTTCCATTCATTCATTCATTCATTTATTAAATCATTCATTCATTCATATTGAGTACAAGTATACCTAAAGCTACTATGTGCTAATGACCACCACAAAATGAGGAATCAAAGAATAGCACATGGTCCCACATTAAGAATTGCCCAAGCCCTAGTCGGTTTGGCTCAGTGGATAGAGCGTCGGCCTGCAGACCAAAGGGTCTCGGGTTTGATTCTGGTCAAGGGCAAGTACCTCAGTTTCAGGCTCATCCCTGGCCCGGGCCCTGGTCAGGGCACGTGCAGGAGGCAACCAATCGATGTGTTTCTCTCACATCGATGTTTCTCTCTGTCTTTCCCACTATCTTCCACTCTCCCTGACATCAATGGAAAAATATTGGGTGAGGATTCAAATAATAATAACTGCCTAAGAAACATCTGGTATATTTCTCACTCACGTATTGTGTATGTGCCCCTCTCATTCAAATGGTCACCAACTCTCCTGAGGACAGAGCACTGCAGCGGGCGCTCTGGCTGGTAACCACGCCCACAGCAGGGCCGCGGGGCAGGGCTCACCCAGGGCTTCGGTGGCGTTGACCTGGAGGATCAGCCAGCTGTGCACATTCTCTGTGTCGGAGCCAAAGATGGTGAAGACGGTGCTCTTCTCACCGGGCTCCGTGAGGAGCCCGTACACGAACACGGGCTTCCTGGAGAAGACGGACGTCTGCCAGGTCTCCCCCTCGTTGGTGCTGTATCTGCCCAAAGGCAATGAGAGGAGCCTTGCAGTTAGTGTCTCAGGGCAGGAGCCTGGCTCTCAGGTAATACTCACCGGTGACAGGAGCCAGGGCTCCCGGAGAGGCAGCGGGTCCTGGGCTAGAGCAGAGAGTGTAAGGCTGTGCCAGAGAGCGAGGACGCGCTCAGCGACAATGCAGTCAGCACAGAGGACACAAGAGCCAGCTCGATGGGGCCCCACTGGCTGAATTTAGGAAAATCTATATATATAAAAGGCTAAGCGACCATCCGACTGTCTGACCGGCTGGTAGGTATGACGTGCACTGACCACCAAGGGGCAGATGCTCAGCACAGGAGCTGCCGAGCTACAGTGACTTGGCAGCAGCAGTTCTTGGGTGACACATCCCGGAACCAGAGAGGAGGGAGCCCAATTCCTCCCAGGGCCACACGTTTCCACCTTTGGCCCTGCATTATGTTGTTGCTGGGGTACTGTTGGCCCCAAATCTGGTTTGCTGCACACTTGCGTTTGCATTCCATACCCTGTATGACTGCAACTTTGCAGAGTGCCCTCTTGCACTCTGGGACCCCTTCGGGGGATGTCAGAGAGCCAGTTTCAGCCTGATCCCCACAGGCCAGGCTGAGGGACCCCACCTGCCAGAGGGACCCTGCTCACTCCGCAGACGCCCTTTGGGCCGTAGTGCCGCCCCAGGTGCAGCTGGCCAGGGAGGGACCGTGGGAGGTTGACTCCAGGGCGTGTCTGGCCCGTCTCACCCAGTCCTGCCCTGCCAGCCACCTTCTAATTAATTTCCTTTCAATGTGCTTGAATCCATGCACTGGGCCATTAGTGTGAACATAAAGAAGAAAATGATGATGGCAGAGAATGCACTGACTGAAGACAGAGCCCAGGGATCTAAACGGCACCAACACTGAGAGAGAAAGGGAGGAGGAAATTTATTTCTTATATTCAGTGCTACCAAATAAATGTTGAAAACAATGACAGAATGAGAAAACTGACCATTCTGTAACCCACAGTGTGACCACAAGATCATCATTAGATGCTCAAATCACTGGGTGAAGCGAGTTGGGGACCGAATGTTTACATGGTGCAAAGATGTCAACCCACAGATGAATCGTTTATTACAAACAGGGAAATGTAACTCTGAAAGCACTGTAAATAGCTCGGTATTAGTAGCAGGAAAGGAGCAAAGGGAAGGCCAGAACCTACAGGCACGTCATCTGGGCATCTTCACCAGGAGCTGCTATTTCACACTTCCCAGGGAACTACTGGTCCACTCCCTGCAGACCACTGGGGGAAGGGGCTCAACAAAGCGAAGTTGGGGTGACATAGGGAAGGTGCCTGTCAGTCAAACATAGGAGTAGAAATCACTGGCTACGCAAGGCAAGGCCACTGCAAGCCTGCGAAAATCTGGAAATACATAGTCCCCTAGAAAAAGGTGTTCGCTCTCTTGGCCCGAGTGATCCTGCAGACTGCACATGCAATGGACAGATGGACTGCAGTGGGGAACACAAGCTAAGCCAGCCTGATGCTGTCTTTCCCTCTTCTGTGCACACATGGAATGTTCCAGGACCTCTGGGCAACAGCTTTAATCCTAGCTCTGCTGAAGTCACAGCTACGCTTCCTCTATGGCAGGAAGAAGGGAAATGGGACCTTGGAAACCCAGGGATTTAACTCAATACAAATAAATGCCACTCATTCTCCCATGCAAGTCTCAGAAACTTCTTTTTCTCGGGACATCCCAAGAAGCCCACTCACAGCAACCGGTGAGGACAAGGAGAGCTCCCCACGGATAAAAATTTTACAGTGAATCTTGTAAGAATCACGACCTTCACCAAACTTGGCATCACTAATAGCAGGACAACCTGACACTATGTGCTTCCAATAAAGTGCTAAGGACAATAGTCATCTATGCGCTATTCTATGCAATAAATCCAGAATTCGAGTCACTCCACATGACAACTGGTCTGGAGTCTTCAAAAAAAATCAAGGTCATGAAAAACAAACAGAAAAGGGAGAAGGCTTGCTATAGGTTAAGAGGTGTAACAGCCAAATGCCATGAGTAACCCTTGACTGAGTCCTGGACTGGAAAAAGAAAGTAGCTATAATATGGAACCAAGGGAAAATAAACATAGTCTACAAGTAATACTGAGTTCATGTGAATTTCCTTATATGTGATAATGGCATTCTGACTGTATGGACAAATACCTTTATGTACTGGAGAAATACGGATGGATCGACAGACAGACAGGCTAAATAGATGGGTGATAGACAGAAGTTGAGAAAATTTGCAATTGGTGGTCCTAGGTGAAGTTACGTGAATGTTCTTCATGTAATTCTTTCAACTTTTCCTGAGGCTCTAAAAATTAAAAAGTTGGAGGGAAAGCATATGAGGAGGAAAGTCTCCAAGGCAGACTACATCAGGATGACAAAGTGAGCCCTTGAGAAACTGAGCAGCATCCAAGTAATTATAATAATTTTACTTATTTTTATTTTTAAATATATTTTTATTGATTTCAGAGAGGAAGGGAGAGGGAGAAAGAGATAGAAACATCAATGATGAAAGAATCATTGAATGGCTGCCTCCTGCATGCCCCACACTGGGGATCTAGCCCACAACCTGGGCATGTGCCCTTGGCTGGAATCGAACCATGACCTCCTGGTTCATAGGTCAATGCTCAACCACTGGCCACGCCAGCCGGGCTGTAATAATTTTAAATTATCACTTATACTAGAGGCCTGGTGCACGAAATTTGCACATGGGTGTGGTCCCTCAGCCTGACTGATGATCGAAGCGTGAGCATCTGGCATGGAAGGGCAGGTGCCAGCTGACCTCTGGGCCCTGGGCAGCACCTGGGCCTCCAGGCCCCCATGCACTCCCCTCCACCTGAGTCATCAGGCCCCATCTGCAGGGTGATCTGTGGGGCGATTGGGCTCCTGCCCGGCTCCCTCAGTGCCTGGAAGCCGGGCAGTGGCCCCGCCCCCCACTGCCACTGCTGGTCACCATCTGCAGGGCAATCAGGCCCCTCTTGCATCCACCTTGGCCTGGTGCCACCCGCTCACCTGCTCCACATCCCACCGAGGTCCCGCTCTTGCAGGGGCCCATTGGAGCCGGCAGCACCTCCACTGCCACCCGCTGCTAGCACCACATCGCCTGCCATGTTCCATGCCACCACCTGGTGGTCAGCACACCTCATAGTGAGCAGTCAAGGGGACAATTTGCATATTAGGCTTTTATTATATAGGAGGGTTGAAAAGGAGGAGAAAATGTGCCTATTTGCTTCATCACCCAGGAAGCTGGTGCGACGTTTAACATGAGAAACCACTCACTTAGATCTTTCATTAGAATCACAAAGATACTGAGCTTCTTCTTAGATCCCAATTATATGTAAAACTTTTCCTTCCACTTTTCACTTGTTTCTGAGATTTCAGTTTTACTCACTCAGGATCTTAATCCTTGACATAAACCTGTTCATGGCACCATTTGATCCACGCCCTTCCTCTCATACTGAGATTACCAGAATTGATCTGCAAGAAGGCTACGCGCTAAACCACTCAGCGGTTTGCAGGGCAACACAAAGAATGTGGAGCGGGACTGACTGGTCTCCTCTCTGGAGATCGTCTAAGGAGAACTTCTCAGCTGGCAGATATGCTTTTGGTTTGAGGTCATTTTGAAGCAGACACGGCAATAAGTTAAATCCTTCCGTCTCCTGCACCAGTGTGATGTGCTCAAGTATCATATCTAAGAAAAGTCACACCAACTCGGTGTTACTTATAGACTGTTTATTTTTCCTTGGTTCCATATTATTGTAGCTACTTTCTTTCTCCAGTTCAGGATTCAGTCAAGGATTACTCATTGCATTGGGCTGTTACACCTCTTTAGTCTCTTAAACTAGAGCAAGCCTTAGTACCACTTTTAGCACTTTTATTGATTTTAGAGACAATAAAAGGAGGGAGAGAGAGAGAGAGAGAGATCGCATCAAAACATCCATGTGAGAGAGAAACATCGATCAGCTGCCTCCTGTGCACACCCTGACCAGAGATCAAACCCATGACCTGGGTATGTGCCCTCACCAGGAATCGAACCCGTCGCCTATTGGTGTACAGGACAACACTCCCACCCACGGAGCCACGCCAGCCAGGGCTGCACCACTTCTGAAGCAGGGTAATGACATGCAGCATTATTTTTTAGGAGGATCTTCGTGAACCACACAGTTAAATACATTCACTGCCAGGGAAACAAACAAATCCCAAGTGTACTGATAGATGGTTTGATCTCAACTCAAAATAAGACGTCTAGTTCCCACAGAGCTGGACCCATTTGTCAATAAGCTGTGTAAAACAAAAAGGAAGGTAGGGCTATCAAATCTGCAAAGGGAGCAAGGCTAGTTATACAGGTAATACAACGAATGCCAGCCACAGTGAGAAGGGGTAAGAACACTGTCCTTTATAACTCAGGGGCGGAGAACCCACGTGAGGGTGAGAAGGAGGGTGAGGCGGCTCCCTGCAGCTCTCCCAGGAAGCGTAACCATGTCAACTGTTAGCTGCCGCCTCCTACACCCTGGAGCTGCAGCGCTGCCTCCAGGACTCAGGTCCAAACGTGCTCCTGGGTGGCCTTCCCGGTGCCTTCTCTGGGCTCCCAGAGGGACACTTTCCAAACCGGAAGCCTCCTGAGAGGAGAGCTGCGTTGGTGCAAGTACAAGGGCTCTAGGAGCCACTGATAGTACCATCACCCTGCCAGGCGCCCAGCACAGAATGGACACCAATTCCATCCTCACGACCGAGTCAGCACCTGTGTCTGGGTCTTTGGGGTCAGTGCACGGACACAGACTCCTGTCAGCAGGAAGCCTGCCTGAGCCGGTCCTGGCAGCGAGCTGCGCAGGTGAGGGAGCGAACCCCCAACGGCCTCTGATTTACCAGTTCAGACACGTCCACACAAGCAAAACAAAGCACCCGCTTTTTGTCTCAATTTCAGTTCCCATTGACCAAGGTCACAGCCTCAGGGAAGAACCGAGGCAGAAGCTGAAACAAGTAATAGTCACTCTGAGTTATCTGTGCTCCCCAGGAAGAGACAGACACGGATAATTTAAAAGAACAACGCAAAGCCCGCTTTACGCGGTGTCCCCACTGAACCGTGAGTTACTGATGGGACTCTGCTTCCTCCGAGGCTTGGGGTCAGAAAGCTCCCTTCAAAGCAGGCCTTCCCTGCCCGGCCGGCGGGGCGCAGGGCTGAGCATCGACCTATGAACCAGGAGGTCACGGCTCGATTCCCGGTCAGGGCACAGGCCCGGGTTGTGGGCTCGACCCTCAGTAGGGGGCATGCAGGAGGCAGCCGATCCATGATTCTCTCATCTATGATGTTTCTATCTCTCCCTCTCCCTTCCTCTCTGAAATCAATAAAAATATTTTTAAAAAACACACATTCCCTTCATCTAGCCTCTTTCTCCATCCAGCTGGCTCAAAACGTAACAGACTCACAGTGGACACAGGAAGTTCCCAAACGGTGCCTCACTCACCTTTGTACCCTTGGGACCTAGAACACCCGGTTCATTACAGATGTTAACAGATGCTGGGGTAACTGACCTGAGATTCTGCCTAACAGAATACGCCCCCGTTCCAGCTCGGGCCCTGACTGCTGACCGTCACGGTCACGGGATTCCTTGTGCAAATGAATAAGGAATTGGACACATAATTAAAAGGAATTGCCAAAAGGAATCAGTTGGTGGTCAATGGGAAATTAATGAGACAGCCAATAAATGCTCCGAAACTCGGGAGCGAGCCGTGGCTGTGGAGGAGGCCCGGTTCGAGTCCTGGAGCCTCAGACGCCCCTGGCATCCAGAGCGGCCCAGCAGCCATCGCACACGCCTGGGACGGCGATGTGTCCGAGGATGTGAACTGACTGCAGTGTTACCTCCTGCATCTCATCTGGGGAAGCTGCCAGCACGCAGCACCAGGGCAAAAGCAGAGCCTTGGGAGAAGCAAAAAAACTGTGAGCAACAGACCGAGTCAGTGCCAGGTGGCCACACAGAGTCGGGCCAAGTTCAGACTGATATTTGGGACACGTGCACTTATCAACAGAGGCATCATATTTGCAAATCCCTACATCATACTCACTGACACTCCAAACAGCCTGTCCACACAGAACAATGCTACAGTGTCCGTGGTCCCCACAGTCCACAGCCAGTCATTTCTAAGTGTCCGGGAGGCAGCGGGGCCCGGCCACAGGTTTTCCTGGTCACATCCAGCACCAGCTGGTGCCGCCAGGACCCTGCTCCCTGAGCCCTGGCAGGAGGTGGGGACAGGAGTCTCATGACCACTCGGAGAAGCCAGCTTGCAAATGGAACCTGTAGAAGCTACACTCGGAAAACCAGGCACCGACCACGGTCTGCTGGCCACGGGAAGAATAAATGGGTTCCTGGGAAGCCAGACTATGTCCCTACTCTGTTTCTCTCAGTCGCTGCCCAACACCACACACAGCAGGAACTCCTTCAGAGATGGGAAAACAGCCTACTGGTCACTGGACACGCTGCCTCACAGGATCAGTGCTGGCTGATGGGTGAGATGGGATCAATAAGGTAAACGCATGGAGCTTCGTGTGGGAAGTGTGCTCTGGCTGCCTCATCTGAGCCAATGCCACCCGAATGGAGATACCAAGTGCCGCACACACAGCCCTCGGTGGGCAGTGCCCACGGCCCGGGACCGTGCGGGCCACGCCAGGCACTGGGACCCGGCTTCTCCCTGCTCCAAGGCCGGGCTGCTCGGCACACGTCAAATTCACCGCAGGGGAACCATCTGCTAAGATCCCTTCTGCAAACCATCTGCCCCTCTCAGTGCCGGCCCTGCTTCTGCAGGCTTTCCTCCTGCACTGAGCACGACAGGCAACGACGCCCTCCATCGCTCCCAGGATTCACCGCGTGGTTCTCCTCACAGCAGGGAGCAGTGAGGCCCGTTTCCCCGACCTAATGCTAACAGAATTCACTCTGTCCTAAGGGACAAAAGCAATCAAAGGCCTGGTTTTGATAAAATCAGACTTCAGGCGGCAGAAGTTTCAAACTCCCGACATTGTTGCTTTTCCGAGCAACATGTTGAAAGGAGCGCAGACATAATTTAAAGACCCGAGTGCCAGTCTCCCTGTCGCTAACGAACGGGAGACGCTGGGCAAGTCCCTTTGTGTTGCTGAGCTCGGTCTCCCATCTGTAAGATGATGTGATTACCCCACTGTCCCCTCTAAAACCACTGGATGACAGCAAAAGTCAACTGGCTACCAATCTGCATGAACCCTGAAATCATTACTCACGTATCGTGGTTACTTACTGTTAGTGGCTACACGAGTAAATGTCTGTGTGTAACACGCAGGGCAATGGAAAACAATGTGACGAGCGGTAGTTTATTGTTAAATCACGAGTGACTTGTATTTAAATGGAGCTGTACCGTCTCAAATCAATAAAATTATCTCATTATTCCTGCTGGCGCCCGGGAGCTGGGAAGGGCAGGTGATCACTCCTATCGTGTGGAAAGCGAAGCTCAGTGGTTTCCTCACATCACAATTGTGCTGTCACACCCAGGGCGGCAGGGACAGGCCCGTTATCACCAGACTTGGATGCTCTGGGAGGACAGTGGGGTTAAAGGACAAGCTTCATCAGACACTTACTTCAGCTCATTGGTCTCCATGCCCTGGGCGATGGCCACGAGGATGCCGCCGTGGTCTCCCCAGGTGTAGTAGTGAGGGCCGGGCAGCGCCTGGAGGGAGAGGACAGCGCTGACACCACTGCGGGGAGTGACGGGCAGAATCGGCACACGACACACACACGTGTATGCCACAGAGATACATGCATGTGCATGCACACACGTACACAGCACACATGCACACCAAGAGGCTTACTTGCCACATGCGTGCACACACACGGAGGCACACACACAGAGGCACACAAGTATACATGCATACATACAGAGGCCACACACATGGAGACACAGTGTACATGCACACACACAGAGGCACACAAGTGCACATGCACACACACATGGAAGCACATAAGCACACACATGGAGGCACACAGGCACACACATGGAAGCACACAAGCACACATGTATGTATACACGAAAGCACACAAGCACATAAGCACACACATGGAGGCACACAGGCACACACATGGAAGCACACAAGCACACATGTATGTATACACGAAAGCACACATGCACACACATGAAAGCACACAAACACACATGCACACACATGAAAGCACACACGGAATAACACAAGTGCATATGCATACATATAGAGGCCACACACACGGAGGCACACAGACACACACGGAAGCACACAAGCACACATGTATATATATACACGAAAGCACACACAGAATCACACAAGTGCACATGCATACACACATGGAGGCACACAAGTGCACATGCATACATATAGAGGCCACACACACGGAGACACAGCGCACATGCCACACATGGAGGCACACAAACGGAGGCACACAGGCACACACACGAAAGCACACAAGCACACATGTATATATACACGAAAGCACACACAGAATCACACAAGTGCACATGCATACACACATGGAGGCACACAAGTGCACATGCATACATATAGAGGCCACACACACGGAGACACAGCGCACATGCACACACACATGGAGGCACACACACAAAAGCACACAAGCACACATGTATACATGAAGGCACACAAGCGCACATGCATACACATGAAAGCACACAGAAGCACACAAGTGCACATGCATACACACATGGAGGCCCCCAAGTGCACATGCACATGCACGTGCACACACACACACACACAGACAGTGTCTGGGTGTCCAACCTATTGGCTAGAGGTGAGGTATGTGACAGTTCTCTGTAACTGTGAAAAGCCAAGCAATGTGGGGCTTTATGACAATCTATATACTAGAGGCCCGGTGCACAAAATTCATGCACTGGGGGCAGGGGGGGCGGTCCCTCAGCCCTGCCTGCGCCCTCTCACAGCCCGGGACCCCTCGCACCTTACCACCCACCTGCTCGCTGCTCCTTACTGATTAGCTTGCTGCTCCTTAGCGCTGCCGTGGAGGTGGGAGAGGTTCCTGCCACCGCTACTGCGCTCGCCAGCCGTGAGCCTGTCTTCTGGCTGAGCAGCGCTCCCCCTGTGGGAGTGCACTGACCCCCAGGGGGCAGCTCCTGCATTGAGCATCTGCCCCCTGGTGGTCAGTGCGTGTCATAGCGACCGGTTGTTCTGCTGTTCTGTCGATTTGCATATTGGCCTTTTATTACATAGGATTGCATATCTAAATATGGAAGTGCACACAACATTCCCGATAAGCAGCGGCATGAGGACAGGACCTATGCATGAGCTCTTCTGAGAACCCCACCTATCTCAGGACATCACACTCAGCCTGCAGGAGGCGCTCTGACCAAGGTTTTGGCTGAGTTCTGGGGGCTGCCCTCCCTCCCTACCCCACGTGCAGCAGGGCCTCAGAAAGCTACCCCCTCCCCCCCGCCCCCGGACGAGAGCAGAGGCACTCCCCTGGCCCTTGAGGCAGGCAGGCTGGTGAAGAACTTTCCTTTTACAAGTTTGGGGATTCCCTAATGTCCAAGGACTAGAGAACTAGCTGTACCCTCCGAACTGGTATAACCAGCGCCTGAGGACACACGTTAATTACAAAACCTAAGGCAAAAGCCGTCTTCTTCACAGAATGTGAAGAAAGCACCTGCAGATCACAGCTCAGAGAGGAGGCTTCATTTCAACGTCAATGATACACAAGAGTAATAAATCGCGAGGCTCCGGCCTGGCACCACAACGACTATATGATCGTTTACTAATGATCAGCCGATATATACTGAACACCCACACCTGCCAGACGCTACCAGGCCCCAGGGACAAAAAAGTGAGCAGCCCTGGCTGGTTTGGCTCAGTGGATAGAGCATCGGCCTGTGGACTGAAGGGTCCTGGGTTCGATTCCAGTCAAGGGCACATTCCCGGGTTGTGGGCTCCATCCCCCGTGTGGGGGTGTGCAAGAGGCAGCCAATCAATGATTCTCTCTCATCATTGATGTTTCTCTCTCTCCCTCTCCCTTCCTCTCTGAAATCAATAAAAATATATTTTTTAAAGTGAGCCAAATGGACATTGCCTTGTGCTCATGGAACTTATAACCTTAGAACATTTATTTCTTTAAGTCTGTTTTTGATTCAAAGTAGCATTTTTGCAGAATCACAAGCGCATACCACAAGGTGTGCGTACAGATCAGTGCAGCGGACCCTGTGTGTGGCTCCAGGTGCTTGTTTATAATCATAGTTAAGATGGGTGCCTGCACCACAAGCATGTGCGTTCCTGAAATACTGGCTCAGTGCACATGCTCACACAAGACCCGAGGTGGCCTGACCTCTCGCCACCGGGCGCCCGCACTGCTGGAGACGTACACGCTCATCTTGCTGGCCAAGTTCTTTCCCACTGAACCTGAAACACAAGAGGAACAATGACTTTTTATTCAAGAATATGTCAGGTAATCAACACCTTGTCCAACTAGAAATTCTGAGTAGGATGCAGCAACTAAGTATGTCTTAAAACCACAGAACAGCAGTTACTGCGGCAGAGGTGGGTGGCCACCATGCAGTTGGCTGCACGTGAGAAACGGCTTACCCGGTAAGAACAGGCAGAGCACACTTACCGGTGGCAATAATGAGACCAGGAGCCGACTCCTTGGACAGGATGGGCATCCTCCGCAGCTGGAGGCTGAGCAGCTGGCTGAGCCGCTGGGCCAGGTGCAGGGAACAGCCCTGGGACAGCTACAAACACAAGTTCAAGGCTCTGTCAGCAAGTGGTGCGAAGCCTACGTCTCTCCCAGACGCTGAAGCCCGTGAGTGGGCATTGCAGCCTGAGGCAGAGGAAGGGGCCAGGCCCAAAGGAAAGCAGTCCCAGCCGCTGGCCCCACACTGCACCGACGCCTCCCATCAGAGAAAGAGAAAAGTGCTAAAAAACTCCGCTGGGACTCAGCAAAACAGCAACCAGAAATCAGCATCAGCTCAAGGAGACGGAGAGCTACCGATCTCTCCACAGTCCCCAGGGATTCTCCATGTGAGTCCCGGGACACAGCACGAGTCGAGGCCCCGAAGGAGCCACAGGAAACGTTTCAAGAATGCCACATCTGTACCAAACACGTCTACAGGGGTTCACCGGAGACTTCAAGTTGTTCAAACTGACCTGCATCACTTAGGCTGCAGGTTGGTTCTGCAGGCAAGGCCTCTGCGTCGGGGCGTGCCTGACTCTCTTGGCCAGAAATGGTTTCAGATGTGTCCTGCACAGGCTCACCCTGTGGGTGCTTACGGACAGGTAACAACGGTGACCTCGTTTGCTAGATACACCAATTTTTTATACTAAAAGGATCACTAACAAACATCCATCTGGCCAGCATCACAGTTTGGCAAGTGAAAACTATAGCAAATCGAGTTGGGTCCCAAAGAAATATCTGCCAACCTCTTCCACCTTTCTCCTTGTCTTTCACCACCTAAAATCAGAAGGAGAGACTAAAAGCCGAGGAGCCGTCATACAGTTCATTTGTACAGTGATCAGTCGATGACACAGGAAGCTGACTCTTGACAATGCCATTAATTCTATATAACCAGGCTTAGCCCCCGCCACAAGCTGAGAAACCCTGCCGCCATTCACATCTGACTCAGGCCCAACTCAGAGATCTCGAAGACACTGCTGAGAAAATGAGGGTCTGCATGTACCAATGGGATGTGTTCAGTCAAGAGTTGGTGCAAATCAGAAGATAAATTGGGGAGTACATTTTTGAGCAAAATGTCCAAAGAAGTTTTCCCAAGAACCACAGATACTGTATATATTTAACCACAGACAAACAAAATTCAATAACCCAAAAGACCAAGTAATTGTCTCACTAAAATGTTATCGTTTCTCCAAAAATCAGTACTACTTGTTTTTATCTGAGTCCCTCTGTCTGCCTACTTCACACCCTGGTCCTGTATGTGTGATGAACACAGAGATGTGGTGATTGGATAGAGTCAGGGACCATACCTGTTCTTTTGCAGGAAAAGAAAGGAGTTGCTTGGTATACGGGACTATTTAATGGGCCCAAATACTGCATTTCAGTACCCTTAACTTTTCTGATGAAGCCACAGACAGATGAAATCAGACAATCCTAAATTATATGCAGAGGGGGATTTTAAAAGAAATGCTATAGAAATAGCTTCCAGTGGGAGAGGTTGACAGAAGTTCCTGGTGGGAAGCACAGTGGTGCCTCGGTCGTGTCTGAGAGCACGTACCGGCCAGAAGACATGCCAAGAGCACACACGGCCTCAGAGCTCAGAGCAGAGCGAGGAGCAGTGCTGTGCAGAAACAGCAAAAGCAAAACCAAGATTTCATTCCATCCTTAAACACCCACAGGCACTTCATAATGGGCTGTGTGGCCCTGCTGGCTCTCACCCTGGAGTCATAGGCCCCCACTCCATTTCCTCACCTCCCTTCCATCACCTCCACTGCTGAGAACTCAGTTTCACAGAGAGATGATGTCACCCAGAGAAGTGCAGTGTGAGAAGGTGGAGACAGGAGCGCACAGGGGCCAGCAGCCAGCTGTCCAGGATCACAGAGCCTCCTAAGCTCACACTGTCCGCGGTGCCCTGTGTGTCCACAATGCACCTCAGTGTGCCTCGTACAGAGTTTGGGAACTGTGCGTGGAGAACAACAGATAAAGCTGTGTATTAAAAAGCCAACTGAGATGAAAGCATCCGTACCTCGCAATCGATTTTTTCTCCATATCCCGTGACAGCCGGGGCCTGGAGAAACTCCCAGGTGCCCCCTTTGTCAAAGGTGATGACTGATCTCATGTTCTCCTCCTTCAGGGAGCCGTTCACCAGGGTGGCGATGTAGACGCCCTGCAGCCCTTCCACGCGGTGGAAGTCAGCAAATGGCTCACTCGCAAAGTACCTACAGAGAATATGAACAGCGGGGGCTTGACGCGCTGCTTCTTAGTATGTTTCTATTGTAAAGAACATAAAGTTTAACCATGTTAAGTTGCACAATCCAGTCGCACTGGTGGCCTCTGGACTCCTCCTTCTCTCATCCAATCTGTCAGCAAACCTATTAGCAAATGGTCAACATGTAACCGTTCCTATTATCAGCACTGCCCTGGCCTGGTCACCCACAGCCACCTCCACTGGCCTGGTCCTCCCACAGCAGCCTCCACTGGCCTGGTCACCCACAACCACCTCCACTGGCCTGGTCCTCCCACGGCCGCCTCCACTGGCCTAGTCACCCACTGCCACCTCCACTGGCCTGGTCACCCACGGCCGCCTCCACTGGCCTGGTCACCCATAACCGCCTCCACTGGCCTGGTCACTCACGGCCGCCTCCACTGGCCTGGTCCTCCCACGGCCGCCTCCACTGGCCTGGTCACCCACAACCGCCTCCACTGGCCTGGTCCTCCCACGGCCGCCTCCACTGCCTGGGTCTCTGCAGCATTTCCCAATGACTCTCTGGCTCGCACTCTCACCGCCTCCACTGGTGTGATTCCAGGCAGCAGTGAGTTTGGCTTTTTTAGAAGAGAAGTCACTTCAGCAGCAGATGCGCTACAACTGGAATTACCGAGATTAGCACGGCCCCACTAAAGGGTGACATGCACATTTACGAAGGCTCCATATTCTTCTGTCATTTAAAATTTTTTCAAATAAAGTTTTTAATTAAAAGTAAAATACGCCCTGACCAGTTTGGTTCAGTGGCTAGAGCGTCGGCCTGTGGACTGAGGAGTCCTAGGTTCGATTCTGGTCGGGGGCATGTACCTTGGTTTCGGGCACGTCCCCAGTGGGGGGGGTGCAGGAGACAGCTGATCGATGTTTCTCTCTCATCGAGGTTTCTAACTCTCTATCCCTCTCCCTTCCTCTCTGTAAAAAAATCAATAAAATATATTTTTTTAAAAAAAGTAAAATACGCTCTAACTGGTTTGGCTCAGTGGATAGGGCGTCGGCCTGCGGACTGAAAGGTCCCAGGTTCGATTCCAGTCAAGGGCATGTACCCTGGTTGAGGGCACATCCCCAGTAGGAGGTGTGCAGGAGGCAGCTGATCAATGTTTCTCTCTCATCGATGTTTCTAACTCTCTATCCCTCTCCCTTCCTCTCTGTAAAAAAATCAATAAAATCTATTAAAAAAATAAAAAAAGTAAAATACAAGTTACATGGGTGGTCACTTAAAATTATTTACAATACTGTCCACTTTTGTTGAATGCACTTTTCTTTATATAATGCAATTCACAATTTTTAAATGGTAAAGATAACGTCTGTCTTCTGCTGAAAACTCTGCCTTCTACTAAGAAGGAAAAATTAAATGTCTTCCATCCCCTATAAGGCCCTGCTTCCTCTGATCCTCTTGGATTCTCTCTCCCTCCTTCAGTTTGCGCCTCCCTGGCCTCCTCACTATTTCTAAAGTTAGTCACTGTTCCTGCTATTCCCTGTGGCCGCAGCTCAGTTCAGGTGTCTGCCTGGCTCCCTCCTCCTATAACTCAGGCACCTGCTAACGTGACCCTCCTGGAACAGACTTCCATGATTCTCGACATAAATGATACCGTGTGAAACTCTCCTGTTCGCCTGCACTCACCATGGCCAGGCACGCGACGTATCTGTTTATGTCCCGTCTTCTCCTAAGGAGGACGAAAGTTCCCTGGCACAGGGACCTCACTGCTGTCCTTAAAGCCGGTCTGGCTCTTGGCAGCAGCATCCTTGCCTTGAATGAACTGCTGACTAACTGAGCTGCCAGCCTGGAGGGACAGTGGACAGTGGGACGTGCCCTCTGACCCGGGGCCACAGCTTTAGAGCCAGACCTCCACGCAGACCAGTCATCAGCTTCGCCAGGGGACACTTCCCAAGAGCAGAGGGGGATCCTATCAGTGGCACATCTCCCAGAAGTCTGGTTGTCACAGGACAAAGGTGACACGCAGGAATCAGTGCCCCCCACCACGGCACAGAACCCCCAGCCCCAGGGCCTTCCGGAGCCCAGGAGCCCCGTTATTGCAGAACAATCAACTCACCGCGTGATTTACTGATAAAGGATCAATGACCTTAGTGTCCTTCCATAGACAGAACAATACCTCACACAAAACCAGGCACCTGAACAAGAACCCGGAGTGAGAGGCGGACAGTGGCTCAGACACTAAATGTCGCCTACAGCAGCGGTGCTCAGCCCGGGCAGCCACCAGAATCACCTGGGGACTCACACCCAAACCAGTCAAGCTGTCATCTCTGGGACCTGGAGCCAGGAGTGGGGTTTTTGAAAACACCCCCAACTGAGTGAAAATGTGCAGCTATTGCCGAAAACCAACAATGAGAGGCCAGTCCTGTGACTCTAAGAAGCAGGTCCCGTGGATCTGAGAATTGGGTCCTGTGGATCTGAGAAGCGGGCCCCGTGGATCTGAGGAGCGGGCAGGATCGGGGTCCTTACCTGACCAGCGTGTCACTGCCGGCCCCAGCCGGGCTGTAGTAGAGCACGTTCTCCAGGGACAGGGAAAACCGCAGCCCCTCCGCCTCCGAGATGTACAAGTCAGTGCGGTTGTCACTGTGACTGACACACACAAACACCTGGTCCTCGGAGGCATCTGCAACGTAATACTCCTTGGGGACGAAAAGTAAAGAATGCGTGAGCCACGCACGTCCTGGGCGCTCCCTCAATGAGTGGAGCGGGGGTGGGATCTTCTCTCTCCCAAGTCCCAGCCCTTTCTGAACCTGGACGCCTGTGCCTAACGCGGCAGGTGCTTAAATACGTGCTCCTGCCCTTCTCTTTCTGCATTTGAATATGTTGGCATTGTTCTCGGGCCATACAAGTTACCAACTTAAAAATCAGCCTGCTGTGCTCAGTCAGACATTTAATTAAGTCACCCCTAAGCCTTGGCAGGGCGATCTCGCAGCCTCCGCTGGCCCTGGGGAGGCGTTCCCACCCTTGGCTAGAGCAATGACGCCCACAGAGCGTGACCGCGCCCCAAGCCTGGCACAGGGCTGCCTCCCCTCCCTCTGGAGACCGAGGCTGCTTGGCCGCTGGAAGGGGGTTCTGACTGGAAAATGGGCCACGAACGCCATACGTGACCTAAAAACCTCTTTTAGTTAACGTCTCCCTTTTCCCCGAAGACCTACCATCAGTACCAAACGCAATCTAGATTACCATGAGCGTCCTTTCCTTTTTCTCCAAGGTGACCACCGGCAGCTGAGCCCGCAGGAAGCAAAGACCAGCAGTGTTTCTACCAGACACCCCGGAGCCCTGGCCTTCCACGCCGACGGCCAGTGTCAGGGCCTTCGGGGGCGGCTTCCCCTGCGGCCACTTCTCTGACAACTCAGCCCACCTGACCTTTCCGAGCGACACCCCTCTGACTACATGTGCCCCCCGTGGGCTTCTCAGCCTCTGTGCCTGAAAGGCAGGACCTGAACCTGACACCTTTTTGAACCCAGAGTGTGTAACCCAGCAGGGCCTTAGGTAAGCGCTGCTGTCCGTCAGCACCGGCCCAGCCCCGGCCTCTGCCCTCACTGCCCTCTCCCACTTACAGCAAATGCAGGATCCGGCTCAGCTGCACTGCCAACGCTGGAGAAGAAACCCGAACCCCCGCCCAGAGCATAATGGCTCTAGAGACCTTTCTGGAAAGTGACTCAGGGCGGCTGGTCAGATGTCCCCTACAGGACACCCACAGCACCCTGTCCTGGCCCTGCAGGGACAGTGATGCCTCCTCCCGGCCCTGAAGAACCCACTTACATTAATGGGATGTCTGGTGACAAACTGGGCTGCTCGCATGGGCTTCCGGCCAAAGGAGACCCAGAGCTGCACGGACGGCAGCTGCTGGCTGCCCGGGAGGTGCTGCCGAGGAAGAGGAGGACAATCAACGGTGCTGCATCAACCACTCAAACTTCGTGCAAAACAGGAGTCGGGCCCTAAATTCCACCGAGACGCTCAGCAGGGAGTGCGCTGCAGAGACGTGCTTTCCGCAGCGTCCGCTCAGCGTTCCCCAAGACGGGTCTGCAATGGAGCCCAGACGCTCCCGGATGCGAGAGGAGGAGGACAACGCTGTGATGTGAGACATGGGCTGGGGAAGGGATGGAGCCCACCACCGCTCAAGCGGAGAGAGGAGGGGAGGGGCCGTGGGACGAGGCTGAGACGGGTGGGCAGAGCTTCCAGCCGAAACCACCACGGTGAGCGCACACGCACCAGGCGTACATTCTCCTCCACCCCAGTCCCCCTGCAGGTTATGAGGACACCTGACTCACAGGCTTTCACTGGTACCAAGAACGGGAGAATTTTCATTGATTCAATTTTTCAGTCTTTTAATACTTCTCGTTGGTTAAGGTATTTTGCTAAAATATGGTGTTTGTTTTTGTGTTTTTTTTGGTAGAGTATAGAGTATTCCACGTGATGCTGACCACGTCACATTGTGTTTTACAGATATGAAACCGTGGCTGGAACCGCAACAATGAGTGTAAAACACTAGTTAAGAGGAGACCACTACATCTCCCGAGGCCGCTGTTTAACTACAAGATGAGAGGCCGAGTCGGACTGGGGCTGCTCTCGGGACGGGTTTAAATGGCCCCGGAACCCGGAAGCACTGCGCACACGTTTTGTGCAGATGCACTCATCACTCTGCTAGGGAGGGGCTGTCCTCTGCAGGTTCTCAATGATTCACAAACAGGACAGCAGCACAGGAGCTTTCTGTGCTTGTGCACTTCTGAGAGGGAGGCCCCTCCTCATGTGGCCATCATCACACGCGTGGCCAGCAGACCCCCTGGAGGGCTGGGCTGGCTGCCTCCTCCTCGACTGCTCACTACTGTTCACTGTGGACCCCAGCTTCCCACAGAATAAGGAGCACACCCGTGTCTCCTCACGGTAGGCGAGCTGTGCTCACAGCTGCCCAGTAAGTACCATGTGGAGAGCAAGCTGACAGACACCATGTCACTTCTGACTCTTCTGAGCAACACACACATGTATTCAAACCACCACTGAGCAAGTGTGAAAAGTCCTTTGTTTTAAAAAAGCCAGGGCACCCTAAACACCGTGTTAATAGTTTGTACTCAGTGTGGGACCAGTAGGAAATATAGACCTATTAAAAATGTAAAGTGTATTACCTGAATAAGAAAATAGTTCCTAGAAAAACATGTATAAATTCCAAAGTCCTACCAGCATGGCTCAGTGGTGAGTGTCAACCTATGAACCAGGAGGCCAAGGTTCAAGTCCCGGTCAGGGCTCATGCCCAGGTTGCCGGCTGGATCGCCAGTGTGGGGCGTGCAGGAGGCAGCCGATCAATGATTCTCTCTCATCATGGATGTTTCTCTCTCTCTCTCTCCCCCTCTCCCTTCCTCTCTGAAATCAGTAAAAATGTACTATTTAAAAAAAGAAAACAGCCGAAACTGGTTTGGCTCAGTGGATAGAGCGTCGGCCTGTGGACTGAAGGGTCCCGGGTTCGATTCCTGTCAAGGGCATGTACCTTGGTTGCGGGCACATCTCCAGTGGGGGGCGTGCAGGAGGCAGCTGATCGATGTTTCTCTCTCATCGATGTTTCTGACTCTCTATCTCTCTCCCTTCCTCTCTGTAAAAAATCAATAAAATATATTAAAAAAAAAAAAAAGAAAACATTTCTCAAGGTATGTGGTGGGGAAGCCCTCCTGCCTTTAGCCGCCCACATCTCCCCTCCTCATTCCAGCCTTACTCCCTGATTTCCCTGTTGGGGAGGCCTCTCTACACCCAGAATCCCAAGGGCTTTGACCTGCTTCTGCCTGGCCAGCTTCCAATCACATAAATGAGAACCTGGAGGAAAACATTACATCTCACTTGCCCCTGAGGGTAACAGCGACAGGAAGCAAAGCAACCTCCCAGTTCCCAGGGGCCTCAGAGCCGAGGTCCCGGCCACTGGCTGCCATCAAGAAGGCGAGCTTATACCCGCAGGACGCAGGCCAGCGCTCTTGGCTGGGCCTGTGCTCTCCCGGACACAGGACAGTTTAGTTGCAACTTACAACTTGATACAGTTGCAAGGCAAGTCCTGCTAAATAATTAAGCTCTGTTAGATGAGCAAACTCTCCATTTCAGCATCTGGCTCCAACCCATCCAATCAAGGGGGAAATGTTCCCAAAGTCTGGGAGGGCAGCTGCTTACTCACAGCTGAAAGCTTAATTACTGCTCTTCTTAGAGCATAACTCTCACCGGCCCGACTCACATTCTGTTAGCCACGTAACTGCGCGCGGGTCCAAAACTCAGAGGACTCCACCGAATGCAGTGGTTCTCAACCTTGGCTGCACATTAGAATCACCTGGGAATCTTTTTAAAATCCTGGTTTCTGGGCCTCATCCTCCGGAAATTCTGTTTCTTTGTTACTAATGTTGTGGCCTCACCCCATAACAAAGAAACAGAACCACTGGAAAGGAAGTCAGGCAGTGGAATGAAAGAAACACACCACTGAACTCCGCCCTCCTCTCTGATTTCTTTTCATTGGGATTTCAAAGAAACATGTGTTTGTGGAGGATGCATGCAAAACCACCAAATCTCAGAGCTTCTGCACCGCTCGACCTCCGGGACCTCCCACACCCTCCGGGCATGTCCGTCTCTGCCAGCACTGTCCAGGCCAGCCCCCACCCGCTGACCACAGAACGCCAAGCCTCAGAGGGCACACTCCGAGCAGCTCATTCCTCGGCACCTTCAACTCACCACCACCTTGGTGGCAAACATGTACTTGTCCCGAAGCTGGAAGTCTCTCACTGCCTCCAGGATCACTTCCTGGTCCTCCCGGGACTGGAAGAAGTCTGTGCTTCGGAAAACTGTGGAGTACCCGGAGGGCTCGTGCCTTTCCACGTAGATGGTGTTTGGCTTGTCGTAGGGATCAATCCCCCTGAAAGAAACAACAGTGTCACCACTGCTGTTCCCAGTGTGTCGGGAGCAGGCAGCCAGCCAGGCCACAGGCCACCACCCGCTGGGACCGCAAGTGCTGCCAGCATCCCCCTCGGCTGCTCCTGGTCCCGTTCGCAGTGTGGGGAAAGAAAGAGTAAAAGATGGCGTGTGGGATCCAGAAGTCCGGCTTGAGGCTGTCAGCACGTTTCTGGCCTCGGTGACAAACCTCGGCGGAGTGAAGGAGTTTGCCAGGATGCTGGGTAACTCAGGAGGAAACCGCATGGGGACCAGCCAGGCACATCCTTACAAGGCCCCTCCCCCTCCTCCTGCTCAGGCCGCTGCTGCTGGTTCACCAGTGAGATGCGCGCCCTGCCCTGCGAGTCTCCCTCACAACTCTGCGCACACTGACCTTCAGAAACGGGGCGCATCTCTCCCCCGTACTTCTGTCAGCTCTGCACCCCCCGCAGGGAGGCCTTCCCACACCCTCACCTGCACCTCTCAGTCTCCCTCCTCTTCCGGGGGCCAAGTTCAAGCCTCCCTTCTAAGAAGCCTTACCCCATGCTGGCTTCATCTCCCCGGCACCGGATTCAAGTGGTTTAATTCATTTTATATGCATTCAAACGTAGGAAACTGCTTTGGTTGGATGGGCTCTGAAGCAGTCCCCTTACCGGACACAGTACTGCTTCCTGTATCATTCGACACTGAATATACCAAGTTACGATGTATGGTGGGCCCCACACTGCAGTTCTCTGAGCTTCCCAGAGAGTACAAACGCCTTTCAAACCATGTCTTCTCTTTCTTTCTATCCCACAGGGCTCCCACCGGAACTGATCCTCGCTGCACTGCGTCTTCAGGCCATCATCCCAGGGCTACTCCAAAAGGGGACCAGCAGAGGGAGGAGATCAAACTGCCTTGGAGAAGCGCCCCTGCACTGCTGTTCCCCCAAATACAGCCCAAGCTGCAGTCCAGGGGTCGGACCCGCCCCAGGCTCCTCATGCCCCGAGGCCAGGCCGACCCGCACCAGGCAGAGGTGAGGAAGGCAGAGCTCACCCACAGAGGCCTGAGTTCCTCCACATGCACAGAGCTCGGATAATGAAGGTTAGGGCACCAAACTCGAAGCTTCAAGATGCACTGCCAAGAGCATATTCTAAGAAAAAGAGAATGGCCCTGGCCGGTGTGGCTCAGGAGATAGAGCCTCGGCCTGCGGACAGAAGGATCCCGGGTTTGATTCCAGTCAAGGGCACGTACCTGGGTTGCAGGCTCCTCCCTGGCCCGGGCCCTGGTCTGCCTGGTCTGAGCTTGTGCAGGAGGCAACCAATCGATGTGTTTCTCTCACATCGATATTTCTGTCTTTCTCTCTTCTACTCTCCCTAAAAATCAATGGAAAAATATCCTCTGGCAAGGATTAACAGAAAAAGAAAAAGAAAAAAGAATGAAAGAATGAGGAACGAATAAGGGAAGGGGAAAGGGAAGGGAAAGGAAAGGAAGGGAAAGTTGGGGAGAAAGAGAGAAGGAGGTAAGAAGAGAAGAATGGAAGAGCCTCTTTGCACAGGGAAGACCTTTGGCCCTGTAACCGGGAGGGAAGAGTCCCTGGAGAAGCCAGGGTTTGGGCCTAATGTGGGAGGCACTCCGTCGTCACAGGCTCTGTGCAGTGAGGGGGTGGCCTGCTCTCTTCTCTTCCACAATTAGAAGCACTGATTAAAGTACATCCTCTGCTCCAGACGATATGCAAATGAGCATAAGGCTGCGGGATATTTTTAAAAAGGCAGAGAGGAAGTCTGCGAACAGCTCACCTCTGCTGTTCAGATGGAGAAACAAAGCTGTGGCTTCCGGCCGGTCAGTCTGTAACCCGACGGGGACCTCCCTTTCTGAGAGCCGCTCCCCCTACGACAGAGCGGTTCTCAACCTGTGGGTCGCCAACCTGTGGGTTACGACCCCTTTGGGGGTCAAATGAACCTTTCACAGAGGTCACCTAAGACCATCGGAAAACACATATATAATTACATATTGTTTTTGTGATTCATCACTATGCTTTAATTATGTTCAATTTGTAACAATGAAAATACATCCTGCATATCAGATATTTACATGACGATTCATAACAGTAGCAAAATTACAGTTATGAAGTAGCAACGAAAATAATTTTATGGTTGGGGGTCACCACAACATGAGGAACTGTATTAAAGGGTCGCAGTGTTAGGAAGGTTGAGAACCACTGCCCTACGAGGTTGCGAGTTTGCATTTTGCAGTCCTGGCCTCCCCTTTCTTACGTTCACTCACACCTGCCTCCTCTTCTGTGTGCCCTCATCTGGAAATCCCATGCCTTGCTCTACCTCCCAGCAGTCACCAGCCTCGCCTGGCCTCACCGGCTCCCTGGGCCCCACTTACAGCCCTTCAGTGCTGTTCCCTGGGCATCCGGCCCCACCCACAGCTCCTCCCCTGGGCCGTCTACCAGCCTCCAGCTCTGGATAGCACACGAGGTAGGTTTCCAGCTCTCCTGCTGCTTCAAGGCTGCCATTGCTCTCTGCGGGGTTAGATCACACTCGCACTTACTGTGGGGAACCCTAGGGGCCCTCCAAATGGCCTGAAATGCCCTGACACCCTCACACACTTATCTAAACTGAGATGAGCCCGCCCTGAACTATCTGCATGTCACACTAATTCCCAGCACAAAGCATCCTTGTTTAGTAATCCAGCTGGTTTTCCCTCCTAGCACATGGTTCCCCGAACAAGTGAAAGAGCTACTTGTCCCTTAAAGCACCAAAAGCTCTGCGGGCATTCCTTGATGGAGGGCGCACTCGGACCGGACGAGGGTAGGGCTGGAATCTCACTGAGACTCCACAACCTCTGCCCAGGGAAAAGAAAAAATGGCCGGAAACAGCCGCCCTCTCTGCCAAGGCAGCTCGAGGCGAGGCTCACTGGGGCCCCATCTGCACCGGCCTCAAGCCCTAGGGGAGCAACGCAACTCAGAGACTCCTCCTCACAGGCTCCTGGTGAGAGAGGCACAGAGGACCCCCCTCCCGCTGGGCCGCTACATTAATGAAGAGAAAACTAAAAGTGAAAAGACAGCCCTGGCCAGTTTGGCTCTGGATAGAGTGATGGCACATGCCCAATATTTTTTTAAAAGAAAATTTTTTAACACATTGTTTGCGGGTAGTAACAGGTGGCTCTACTTCTTATAGTCAACGTAAAACATATAAATACGTTTCCTGCAAAAGGAATGACAAATTGGAAAATATAAATACACACAATCTATCTCATATCACAAAGAACTAATCTCAAATATATAAAGAGCTCCTGGTAACCAATAATAAAACAATGATGAATCCAATCGTCAAAGGGCAAATAGCAGAACAGACATGTCACCAAAAATATACAAAAATGAACCTAAAGAAGAGCAAAAGAGGTCCAAAATCATTCATAACCAGAAAAGTGCAAACGGAAACTACACTGAGATAGTATTTCTTTCCTAACACATAGGCTTGGAGAGATGCACAGTTCTATGCTGCTGAAATTTGCGTCTTTCTATAGAAAATCTGGCAATCTCCACGAACGTTATAATTTCAAAGCTTCATTCACTGGGGATATATCAATGCACAAAACTGACAAAAGTCCCTGCCCTTGTGTAGCTTTTATTCTACTAAAGAGAGAAAGACAGATAATAAGAATAACAGCTCTAAGTGCTGTGCGAAGAAACCTCAGGTACTGCAGCCTGGGAACCCGCAGAGCAGCTGCCGTTGCCATGGGCCCTGGGGACAGACCGCCTGGGGAGTGTGTTCCGAGCCGCCCTGGCTGAGATCAGGGAGTAAGCAGTGACTGACCTTCAGCGAGAGCTGAAGAAATAACAGGTGCCACGCGTGTGGCGGGAGCGTGCCTGGCATCTACCTGAGAGAAACGAGGACGGCAGGGCTGGAAGCAGAGGAGCAGGACCTGAGGCGTTGACAGGATGGGCGAGGCTCTGTGCTGAGCATTCGCTGGGGCCCCAGGGAAGCAGGTGGCCCCAAGGAGCCAGCAGGGAGCAGGAAATCCCGGCCACACACTGAAGGTGGCACCCTCGGGACTCCTGGTAGGCGGAATGGGAAGTAGGAAAGAAACTTGGACTCAGCGATGACTCAGTTTGGGGCTGAGCAACTAGACACTGAAATGGGGAGGATCACGGCTGGATGGGATCTTGAGGGGAAGATCGAGAGTGTATTGGAGAGATACCGAGCTTGCTGTGTGTGAACAGGGCCGTGCGCCTGGGAATCCGTCCTACATATCCGCCTGCACATATATTCAAGAGTATATACAACCTGCCCGGCCAGCGTGGCTCAGTGGTTGAGGTCAACCTATGAACCAGGAGGTTGCGGTTCAATTCTCGGTCAGAGCATGTGCCCAGGTTCTGGGCTCGATCACTGTGGGGAAAGAGGGGGGCATGTAGGAGGCAGCCAATCAATGATTCTCTCTCATCATTGATATTTCTATCTCTCTCTCCCTTTCCCTTCCTCTCTGAAATCAATAAAAATATCTATTTTTTATCCAACAACCCTGTAACAGAAAAAGATCAGAAGCAACTAGGACTAGAAACAACTGTACTTTTAAAAGTCTGTTGATTTCACCTTCCTTCTCAGCAACCAACAGAGGCTTCCATCGCTTTCAGAATCAGTCCAAATTCCTCTCCCATCTTTACCCAACACACGGCCCCAAAATAAAACTCAGCGTTTTGCACCCCAGCACCATGTCATCTCATCTCCACTCTGGCCATTCTGTTCCTGCAGCCCCACAGCACCTCCTGCCACACTCCCCCATCTGGAGAATGCACCCCCTGCCACCCTCCCCCATCTGGAGAAGGCCCCTCCTGCCACACTCCCGCGTCTGGAGAATGCACCGCCTGCTACACTCCCCGTCTGGAGAATGCCCCTCCTGCCACCCTCCCCCATCTGGAGAAGGCCCCTCCTGCCACACTCCCGCGTCTGGAGAATGCACCGCCTGCTACACTCCCCGTCTGGAGAATGCCCCTCCTGCCACCCTCCCCCATCTGGAGAAGGCCCCTCCTGCCACACTCCCGCGTCTGGAGAATGCACCGCCTGCTACACTCCCCGTCTGGAGAATGCCCCTCCTGCCACCCTCCCCCATCTGGAGAAGGCCCCTCCTGCCACACTCCCGCGTCTGGAGAATGCACCGCCTGCTACACTCCCCGTCTGGAGAATGCCCCTCCTGCCACCCTCCCCCATCTGGAGAAGGCCCCTCCTGCCACACTCCCGCGTCTGGAGAATGCACCGCCTGCTACACTCCCCGTCTGGAGAATGCCCCTCCTGCCACCCTCCCCCATCTGGAGAAGGCCCCTCCTGCCACACTCCCGCGTCTGGAGAATGCACCGCCTGCTACACTCCCCGTCTGGAGAATGCCCCTCCTGCCACCCTCCCCCATCTGGAGAAGGCCCCTCCTGCCACACTCCCGCGTCTGGAGAATGCACCTCCTGCCACACTCCCAGTCTGGAGAATGCACCACCTGCCACACTCCCCTGTCTGGAGAATGCACCTCCTGCCACACTCCCCATCTGGAGAATGCACCTCCTGCCACACTCCCCATCTGGAGAATGCACCGCCTGCCACACTCCCCTGTCTGGAGAATGCACCGCCTGCCACACTCCCCGTCTGGAGAATGCACCACCTGCCACACTCCCCCGTCTGGAGAATGCACCTCCTGCCACACTCCCCATCTGGAGAATGCACCGCCTGCTACACTCCCCGTCTGGAGAATGCACCTCCTGCCACACTCCCCATCTGGAGAATGCACCGCCTGCTACACTCCCCGTCTGGAGAATGCACCTCCTGTTTGCTGGAGCTGAAGTGGAAAAAGGAGATTATGGAATTCATTTTCTTAGCTGACACGACTTACCAAGAAAAGGACTTCACATGCTCCTGAATCAGGATCCAGGTCTGGCCAAAATCGTCCGACTTCCACAGCTGCAAAGACCAAAGTGACAAGAGTGGCCGTGAGGGGAGAAGCAGCAGGACCTGAATGGCTCTGCCAAACCCACCGAAACCTGCAGTAGAGGCTGGCTGCTGCGAGGACAGCACGGGGCCCATCATGGCCAGCGCGTCACTCCCAGGGAGACCAGCCTGGAGGGGAGCCCTCCGCCCCTCTCTGCCCCTCTGTGTTTCCTCCATAGTGGCTAAGGTCTCCACAGACAAGGAAGGTGATTGGGACTTGTCTTCCATTTGTGGATTATCAGAAACTGTATTTCCTCAAGACTAGCCCTCAGATAATGGTAAAAACAAAAGGGTGATGCTTGGCACTTCTCAGCTGGGGAAGAGGCCTTAAAACTATACAACCAGCCCCAGCCGGTTTGGCTCAGTAAACACAGCATCAGCCTGCGGACCTAAGGGTCCCGGGTTCGATTCTGGTCAAGGGCATGTACCTCAACTGCAGGCTCCTCCCCGACCCAAGCCCTGGTCAGGGCACATGCAGGAGGCCACCAATCGATGTGTTTCTCTCACATTGATGTTTCTCTCTCTCTTTCCCTCTCTCTTCCACTCTCTCTAAAATCAATGGAAAAACATCCTCAGGTGAGGATTAAAATAAATAAATAAAAATTTAAAAAAAAACTGTGCAACGGCCACAGCCGTGAAGGAGATGGAGAGGACGCTGATCAAGTACAGGATCAGAAAGGACCAGAGGATCGCTGAACACACAGGGAGGGTACGCTGTGAGCAAGTAACCCGCCAAAGCCCTCCCCCTCCCCAGGCACCCCTGCGCCCCTCTGGCCTGACAGCCCTGTGGTGAGAAGCAGGAGACCACAGACAGCAATAACCCAGCCACACTGGTGAGCTGGCCCTGCCCACACTGAGGCTCCGCCTATGCACGCGAAGGTAAACAGATCATGTTTTGGCTAAACAACCTGCAAAGGAAAAGGAATGTTCCAAGCTTGCTCTGAGCAAAGTCATTCAAAACTTATCATAGATCCAATCCTGGATCTATGGAGTCCAGGATCTGCAGGTCTCACAGGGTTATGCCAGGCCAATCTTCTCAACTCGCCAATGTCAACCTTGAAATATAAGTGCTACTCAGCTCTCTTTCCCCATCGCTCACCCTCTCTCGAATTTGGATTAAGAGAGGAAAACGCACACATTTATGTTGTGTGCATAGGCACACACGCACACTAAGAGAAGATGAACGTTAGTGGTAGGCAATGAAGTACATGGCAGGCAACAGCAGTGTGTAAGGTAGAGGGAAGAAAAGGTACAACAGGAACATGGCAGGCAGGCCCTGCAGAGCTGGCGCCAGGCTTCCCCCACTGCTCTCTGAGGCTGACAAAGGTTCCCGCCCGCCCGGAGAAGGGCATCAGACTTAAGGAATGGGGCCTGCCAGGGGCTAGGTGCGCCCTGGCTCAGGTGCATTCCTTCCCCAGGGAGAGCACAACAGCTACAAAGGCTGAGCTTGAGGGCGGAGGAGGGAAGGGCCAAGGGAGGTCACTCAAAGGACACGCAGGCCACAGGACAGAGGCAGAGGAGGAACCTGGCGGAGCCCCACCCGGCTATGTTCCGGACACTCTCTTACCTGCTTGTTGGGGTGAGACCTGTCGAAGCCCAGGAGGAGGTCGGAGGCCTTGGGGTGCAGGAGGAGATCGGCTGCCCGGAACGGGATGGAAAAGCCTCGGATGGTGTTGCAGAAGTCGAACGTGATCCAGAGGTACTGGGCGTACGCGTCTGCGAAGATGTACTGCAGAGGAAGGAGGCAGCTGGAGCGGGCCTGGCAGAGCCGCCAATACCCTCCCGCAGTGAGCGCCTGGCACGCGGGCCTGCAGGGCTCACCCCTCCCGCACTCTCACCCTCTCCCACACTGAGGGAGGCAGGTGCACACCCAGTGTGACTCAGCAAAGGCACGGGTGCAGGATGGGCTTGCGTTTAACCAGATAATGAACCTGTGTGGGAAGTGGGCCTCTGTGGTCCGCCCCAGCATGGCCGGCTTTTGATGGAAGCGGTCACGGAGTTTCCCCAGGGCACACAGAATGTGGGGAGGAGGGGAGAGGACGTACGAACAAAGAACTGTGGGCGTGGGCCAGCGTCCTGGTGGAAACCCCAGGGGCGCCCACCTCAACTAGGGGGTGTGTGTGTGTGGTGCAACTGGAAAAAGCCTCAGCCCATCCTCTTAAATGGCCCAATAGGAGAGAGCAGACCTAGGCGACCTATGAGGGAACAGGTGACCATGGTGCTCAGCCAATGAGGAGCCGGAGGAGGGACTCGCACCCTCAGGATAAACAGTCTGTGATCACTGCTCCATGTGCCCGTCCCGACACCCGCTCTTGCAAGAACATATTAAAGGGCTCGTTTTCGCCACACGTCTGTCTGAGTCTGTTATTTGAACTCGGACAGGTGAGCATTTCTCTCATAGTCAAGCCTAGGTTTTTTCAGATGGCACAGCCTTCTCTCTCTCTGGTGAACCACTCGGTCACAATCGAAAGGTGGCTACGGAGGCCAGGACAGAGAAGGCCTGCCCTCAGCCTGCACACAGCGGGGACTCATCTCCGACAGGCCTTCCAGGAAAGCCACAGCCCCTGGGAAAACCAGCTGCCCCCTCTGCCCACCATGCCAGGTGAGGGAGCTCTCACACCTGCGGGCACTGGGGGCACACGCCCTGGGAGACACGGCAGGAAGTAGCTCCATGGAGCCAGGACCTCACCTCCTTCTGCTCCCGCACAGCCGAGTGGCGCTTTGAGCTAGAGAACGATTGCACCTACGCAGCTTCGCAGCTTCCAGGGGAAGGGAATGAGGTGACTGTTTGACAAAGGTGCATCTGAATATTCACCGGGGACCAGACAAGCGGGTACCACAGTGAAAACACAGGGTCCTGCCCCATAGGTAGCCCAGAATCTATGCGGGGGTCGGGGGGACGACATGCCCACAACTGACTCTACTTCAGGGGAAAGTGAGAGTAAATGAGGAGACGTGCTACATCCTATGAAAGCAAAGATTACAGATGGGTTATGGATTGCAAGACCAGAAATGACTCCATGTAAGCGTTGGGCCTTGAAGGGTAGGCAAGACTGGAGAGGTGTGTCCTGTCACCTGCAGGTAGGTAAGAGGAGTGGGGTGCTGTCACCGGCAGGTAGGTAAGAGGAGGGGTGCTGTCACCTGCAGGTAGGTAAGAGGAGGGGTGCTGTCACCTGCAGGTGGGTAAGAGGAAGGGGTGTCCTGTCACCTGCAGGTAGGTAAGAGGAGGGGGTGTTCTGTCACCTGCAGGTGGGTAAGAGGAGGGTATGTCCTGTCACCTGCAGGTAGGTAAGAGGAGGGTGTCCTGTCACCTGCAGATAGGTAAGAGGAGGGGTGCTGTCACCTACAGGTGGGTAAGGGGAGGGGGTGTCCTGTCACCTGCAGGTAGTTAAGAGGAGGGGTGCTGTCACCTGCAGGTGGGTAAGAGGAGGGGTGTTGTCACCTGCAGGTGGGTAAGAGGAGGATGTGTCCTGTCACCTGCAGGTAGGTAAGAGGAGGGTTGCTGTCACCTGCAGGTAGGTAAGAGGAAGGGGTGTTCTGTCACCTGCAGGTAGGTAAGAGGAGGGGGTGTTCTGTCACCTGCAGGTAGGTAAGAGGAAGGGGTGTTCTGTCACCTGCAGGTAGGTAAGAGGAAGGGGTGTTCTGTCACCTGCAGGTAGGTAAGAGGAAGGGGTGTTCTGTCACCTGCAGGTAGGTAAGAGGAAGGGGTGTTCTGTCACCTGCAGGTAGGTAAGAGGAGGGGTGCTGTCACCTGCAGGTGGGTAAGAGGAGGGT